TTGCTTGCTTGCTTGCTGGCTTGTTTGCATGCTTGCTTGCATGCTTGCTTGCTGCCTGGCTGAGCACAAGAAACGGAAAAAAATACCAAAATAAACGGAAAAAGTACCGAAAAAATAGCGCTACCCAATGGCGAGCATCGCCCCTGCACGCTGTAGTCTGTCTCGACTGCCATCATCACGACAAAAATCCCACTTCTACAACGGCTCGCGAACACGGGGGGTTTAAGCTGGCCGGAACCTCATGGCCTGGGCAACCCTGGTGGACAGCTGCCTTCCGACCACATCCGCATGGAGCGTGGACCTAAACTAGCAACCTGCCAACTGCCGCAATTGCAGACAGTTGCGGCACGGACTTCTGACTTGATGGATGCGCGATGGTGCAGGGCAAGGAGGGGAACAAGGCACAGGGGCAGCAGGACGGAAGGTGTTTCTTTGCCACACTTAGTGGGCAGGCAGGGCGGAGAGGTGCAGTTGGGTTCCCGCTCATGCGATCCTGCAGCAATAGCGAAATGCCAGCTCGGCAGGGCCATTATGCAACAAGCGAATCAACATATAGCTTTGGGATTGAAGGCCAGGAACCGGAAGCGCGGCTGCACACAAGTAGCACTGTTGTGGATTTGACCCCAACGCACCGGTCGTACCATAGATCAACTCTCTACTTGGCATCTGTGCGCTGTCTCTGCACGAACTATGCAAGCACATATCTGTCATGAAGACAACTCCTGTCGAATGATACCAATAAAAAGGAATGCTTCACAATACCCATTGACTTTCATGCTGCCTGGGTAGCGAACATGTGCGCCGCTTACCGCATATCTCGATTTCCAATCGACCTCAGTTGGACACGACGCAGGAAACGTGCCTCAACACGCATGGCTACAGTGCACTGGAAGGTAAAGTATATGCCCGGGCCAAATACCGCGACCGCCATGACACCATCTCCATGACCTCGCAGCGTTTGCACCTGCAGCGGACATATCCTCCCCCTCCTCCTCCTCCTCGCCGACGTCGTCGTTTCGTTTCCGTCAGCGTCAACACGTCGAGTCTTGTGAAAGCTAAATCACCACCAGCACGATTGAACAAGTCCAGTAAGTCGAGTGCACACTCTGCTCGCTCCATGTCCCACATCTTCAGCGTACAGTCCTGAGATCGGTCTTGAAAGCGTCACTAACCCCTCGTGTTCTGCTGCATTACCTTCAGCAGCTTTAGCTCTCATAGCCTGCAGCCCGTCCTTTTCTCCAGAGGTGCCACAACACTGAACACGGGTTCTGAGCACCTGGCTGTGCTGCAAGTCAAAGCGAACGGCCTGCGTGCAAGCATCACAAGTTTGGTTGCTTGGCCGCATCTGTGCCGAGAACACGTCAGGCTCAAGTCAAAGCTAGTCAAGTCAAGGTCTCCAAGTGGAGGAGCAAGAATCATCGGGCCTGAATATCCTAAGAAGCTGCAGTTGCGGAGGTGGGCCAGCAAGTTCAGAGAAGCAAGTTGTCAGAAGCACCTGATCACTCATGCATCGTGCGTGCTGAGGCATGGCCTGCATTGTGTGGCTCTCTGGATTTTCTAGCATTAACGGACCTCGTCATCTCTGATTTGTCTGCCGTTGCAAACGAGAGATAGCTCAGTCTGGTGAATCCCTGACCTCGATGGCACGAGAACTTCTGAGCTCGAAGTCTGTCAGCAGCCAATGCTCGTGGGCATCTGCAGCAAGCTCTGACAGAGGCACCAACAATTCAGCCAGTCGTTCCTTGACCTCCACACCCTGCCAGGACTGCGAAACGATGGGCCACTCTGGGGAGTTTCTGTGTGCGTTAAACACCACGCATTCTCGAAACTCCCTCACCTGCAGTACTGGTAGTTAAGATTCGTCTGTTGTCGTGTGCAACTATTAAACCTGCCCGTGAAAGCCAAAGATTTCAGCGAGAACATCTGGACACAATTGCCACTGGGAAAGAAACCGTCGAGGAGCAACGGCTCCAGAAATCATCCGAGGTTTCCCTTTGCAAATCTAATGGAACAGTCACTCAAAATGTCAACTGGTGGCAAGAGCGGTCCTAGAATGCTGTCCTGTGCCGCGGCTTTCAACGAGAGAAGGCGTTTGAGACCGAAAAAACAGCACCCTTCATGACCATATGTCCCTGACAGGCCCTCTGCAATGGTACAAAGGAAGGAGATGTGCCACAGCACCCAACGAGGAGTCGAGTCTCACTTCACGAATGTTCATGACCTTGTTGCACTCCCTAGCTATAGGCATCAACGGGACTAGCCGATCGGTATCAAAGTGGAACTGGACAGCTCTGGATGAAAAGTGCTGTCAGTGTTTGTGCAACAACGGAAGACACCAGAAACTGACGCTGCTGCGTCGCCTTGGCCGTGTTGCCAATGATGAATTTCCAAGATCGTCCACTCAGCATAGCAACCTCATGCTTCAACCGAGCTATCCCGGGCCCGTCATAGTCGGACATCGCGACAAGTGGCCTCAACTTCGAGACCTGTTGCATCACTTTCCCAACAGATCCAGCGCTGTCGGTTGGCCTTGGACGTTTTCCCACTAGCAGGATGGCGCAGGAACTGTGTACAGTGAGGGTGTAAAGGATGAGACCTGTTGACGAAGCTGGCATAGTTCCTGCAGGATCATGTTTCGTGCTAGTCTAGTCGCAATGTGACGCTGTGAAATGCAACACAACTCCTTCCGCATCATGGAGGCACATGGCTTCGGCGGCTTTTTCTGAAAGAAACTCCTGTGCACATGAAAAGCCACCACAGTTCCAAAGCCACACTGCACACCCTCCCTTTGCTGAAAGAATAGAATACCGAGAGCAGTCACGACAAGGACAAGAACCTATCAACATACGAGCTTGAGCATGAGCTTCACGTCTATCACGACGCTGTCACGCTTCCTTGAACTTGAAATATGCCTGAGGAACAAGAAGACTCGGGCCGCAGGGTTCAAAGTTCCAGGCAAATCACAAGCAAACAGTTGCTCGCAGGGAAGTGATCCCTGCTTCGAGCATTGTCGTCGACGAGGCCGGAATGATGTTGATAGGGTTTGCAGCAACAACAGTGCTGTGACATCTCCTCTACGGTTAAGGGGAAGAAGACCATCAGCCGGCAGTTGTTGAGCTGGAAATAGTGCAGCACTGTCTCTTCACTAATTTGGAAAGCCTTTTCCCGGCTGGTCGCCGACATGCCATTGACTGCCCAAGTATCTTGAAAGCTTATCGAGCACATCTCACTCAGCGCTGCTGTACCAGGCATCCAAGAGTGGCAGGTAGCATGTCCTTAACGATTGAATGATGGACGATGAGTCGTCGCAACCTGCACATATACAAAAACAGTGCACTGAGATACCACTGACTCACTGCTGAAACGTGCCTTGGGGAAAGCATGTGTAAAGGGTGTGGAGTAGTGCACCCAAGTCCTTGCGACGTCATGAGCGGACAAGGAAAGACCGAGCAGCTTCGGATTCAATCCATCGGTCCCAAAGCACCGTGTATCTCACATTGGTGGGACGGTGAAGCGACCTGCGCTCGAAGGTCAACTTCTTTGTCCAAAAGCTCGTCCAGGATTGTCTGACTGCTCAAAGCTGCACACTTTTGCCTACATTCTTGATCCTAATTGCGCATGCCTCGCGTGACCTACACGGCCCAAGACTACAGAAGACGGCCATGTCATTCCGAGATGCTGCGCCAGGTCACTGTAGGACTTCTCCAATTCACCAAGACGGCTTGTTGCAGATTCCATGGCAAGGTGTGTTCAACTGTTACCGCGATGCTGGGCCTGTGTACATGTCCGATTTGCCGTGCCGCTTCTTGTTGTCTGAGTTGACAATCGAACAGTAGCGACTCAGTTCATGCAAAAGCTCCAAAGCCAGAAAAGCCACAGGCAGCATGAGTGGGCAATCCGGCCAACAGAATCAGACAGAATGAAGCTTTTCTGGGCAAGCCGGGGCTCCCAGACCTCAGCCTCCTTCGCTGACTTTGCCTCAGCATCACACAAAGTGTCACGAGGAGCTCTTGGCTGTAAGGACTCGCGCCTTTTGCTTGGCAATCGCTTCTATCCTGGCCGAAGACATTGGTAACAAGAAACTTCTGATGGAAACCGCTTGGGTTACGAGATACTAGTTTCTACCAATGCTTGGTGGGAAACTCAATCTGTAAAGGGCAAACAAATAACCGATGCCAGAAGACTGCAATTGCATTGTGTCGTTCTTGGTGGAGATGTCCGCCAGCTTCGTGTGTGCCTGATTGCTAGAAGCCGCCATGCATCATGCAGCATTTCTGGAAAGCAGGAGCTGAGTGCTCCTTGCGAATAGCTGCTTCTCCAAACAACGCTGCATTATCATCTCAGCTGCAGGCAACGTTCTGCAGGTGCTGACAGTAGTCCACGTGACTTGTGATGTCATCCATCTCCTGCCCACCCCACTCAGCAAGTGCAGATATTGGGCAGTCTTGTGGGGTCCTTGAGAAACCTCTTTGGTGCACCTGTGGTGCTTGCGATAGTGCGGCGTTCGGAGTCAGACCTGAGCACATGTCGATGTTTGCATGGACGTATGGAAACCTGCAATTCCAACGTGACAACGAGAGCCTTGCTTTCTTTCCCACTCTGACTGGAGAGATTTCCACACGCGGATGGCACTCACCAAGGTTGCAATAGATGACTTGACCTGGCAACAAATATTTCACTTGTGTGGGACAGTGTCCTTCCTGGTCATGGGCCCACCTCCTCGATCATGGCGTCATATGTCATGTCTCTTTCGTGGATTTTCTTCAAGAGGACGTGCCTGAGCCGGAGCCGTTCAAAGCACTAGCGAGAGACACGCTTCGATTCCATTTCCCACCTGGCCCAGGCTTCCCAGCAAGTCGCTTGGTTAAAGCGTAGCTGCATGTCGCCTTGCCTGATGAAAACCCGGAGCCAAGCTCTGTGCACTGCAGGTTTCTGTGACTAAGAAAATGGCCGATAGTAAACGGCTTCGGCAAGAGCGCACGATGCTAGTTCGAACTCCTGCACTCGAGCACAATCCGGCAAATCAAGTGGATACTACTAAGCTTTCTCCTCCAACATGAAGTGAGCTTGGGCAATGTAACTCCGCACCTGTATCAACGAGCATGACGAGTGCAGAGCTACAAAGCATAATGTAGTAGTCTTCCACGGCGCACGGACTTGTCTTCAGGATCCTTCTGCTTGGCTTCATTGTAACACTCAAGTGCTCTCCTGTCCGACCAGATCCACCAGGTACACGTGCAATGTGCAGCACTTCGTTGCACAACTTAAGGACGGCACCTGATGTCAGCAGGCTTTCCGAATTCCAACAAGACATGGCCCAGATTTATGTACCTGAGTGGAAAATTAAGTTTGCAGGAATCAGCTTGCAAGCTTCCACTCAACATCAACGGCTGCCCGATCGCTGACAAGCAGCACCGAAGGACTTTCGGCCATGGCCTGTCCCAGACAAAACTGCAAAGGATCGGGCCCTCACACCGTGGCATGTGCTAAACTGGGAAGCCCAGCCGGTATGTTTTTCGGTTCACATGATGAAAAACGGATCAAAGGGATGACGCTTCGCCGTGGGTCCACGAGGAGATCGCCTTCAACAGGATTAGAACTAATCCGTGCTTTGTAAGAGTGCCCCCCCTGTACTGAAAAGCCCGTGCTATTAATTTTGGGAGTAAGGTCGGTTGGTCGGTTGGAACACGGCAATGAT